GCCACAACGCCCGGCTATTTTTTGGTTGCAGCCGTCATTGTTGTTTGGCGGGTCCGGGCGGGGGATTTGAACCTGCCACCTTAGGTGTACGTGGCTGGCTGAGTTTTTCTATTTTTAGTAGAGACAGGGTCTCACTCTTGCTCAGGCTGGTCTTGAACTCCTGAGCTTAAGCATTCAACCTGTCTTGGCCTCTCAGAATACTAGGATTACAGGCGTGAGCCACAGGCCTGTTTGCTCTTTATGATGAGAGTAACTTAAAATAAAGGTATCTGAAATAACTCCTGCCATGCCTAAAACAGCTGTTCATGAGAAAGTTCCAAACTAAGGCAAAGAATAAAATGGGCAACAAAACTCAAAATTCAATTTAAAGAACATCTTTAGAGATAAAAACATTTTAATTATCAATTCTGACAAAAGTGGGATGTGTGTGTATATACATATATGCACACACACAATTACTGAAAGCATGACATTAATATACAAGTTGCCTGTAATCAAAGTGGCAGGATCCGGGTTCTGGATGGAGGTCCTAACACCCTACTTCGAGGCCTGCCTTTCCTTGGACAGGAAAATCTGGTTAGCAGACAGGACCCCAATCTAGGAGGCAAAGTTGTACACTTCCTAGGCTGTGTTCTCTTCTGAGTTCCTTTCTTCTGGAACACTCCCACTCTTATCCTCTTAAACTGTTAACTAGAAAGTTACCTCTAAGGAGGAGGCATTGAAACTCTATGAACTTTGATCTTTGGAAATACAGGGTCCAATATATTGATGTTTATAAATTGTATTTAAAATTTAAATGCACTGCATGATGGAGTTAACAGGAAAGCCTGTGTGGGGGGCAGGGGGAGACTGGTGGCCTATCCACAACCTTGGATGGGCCTTTGTGATACTTTCCATATCTTTAAGTTATGCCCTGGGTCAGGGTGCCTGTGATCCTAGTACTTTGGGAGGCTGAGGTAGGGAGATGGGTGAGGCCAGGAGTTCAAGACCAGCTTGAACAACAAAATGAGACCCTGTTTCTACAGAAATAGAAAAATGAGCTGGATGGAGCGCTACATGCTGGAAGTCCCAGTTACTTGGAAGGCTAAAGCAGGTGGATCCCATAAGCCCAGGAGTTTGAGGCTGTAGTGAGTGAGGATGACATCACTGCACTCTAGCTCAGGCAACATAGCGAGACCCTGTTTCAAAACAAAAACAAAAACAAAAACAAAAACAAAAACAAAAACCAGAAAGCAAACACATGCTCTAGTTCACACCCCAAATTATATTTAACAAAGCTGGAATCTCCAGAGCAGAGAAGGTACGGCTGGGGATTAGAGCTATATATCACTATGGTTCCCAAATTGCTCTTGCTTCAACACCCAAAGATGAATTTGATTCTCTATTTAAAGAAATGAAATTACAAAAGTCACAGAAAGTAGACATAAAATTTCTAGAAAATGGAAAAACCAAATGCTTCTCAAATCCGAAAGAAATTATGGTGTTAAAACTGCAGAAGTCATTCAGGTCATTCTGGCAAATCAATAAGTAAAGTTACATACTTTTCATAATCTGCTGAAAAAGTCGTGTTCCTGACAGACTCATCTCTCCTGTTCCACTTTAGGGTAACATTGTCATCTATGATGTTGACCTCTAAATTTTGAGAGCAGTTTAGATTTATTCCACCTATAAAGGCAACAATGACAACAAAAGATAATTATATAAACACTACATATTTAAAAAACATTATTCTTCACCTTTCATCAAGATAATGATGATTAAAGAATGAACACATTTAAACACATTCAAATATAATGAAGTACATATTAAAAATCTAAAAAACAGATTGCTTTCGGCACAGGGAGGCTAATTATGTTTCTGCACATAGAGGAGCTAGAAGAAAGGTTTTTTTCTGGCTCGGTGCCTGTGGCTCAAGTGGCTAAGGCACCAGCCACATATACTTAAGGTGGCGGGTTTGAATCCAGCCCGGGCCTGCCAAACAACAATGATGGCTACAACCAAAAAATCGCCGGGCACTGTGGCAGGTGCCTGTGGTCCCAGCTACTTGAGAGCCTGAGGCAGGAGACTCGCTTGAGCCCAGAGGTTGGAGGTTGCTGTGAGCTGTGATGCAACGGCACTCTACCCAGGCGACAGCTTGACGCTCTGTCTCAAAAAAAAAAAAAGAAAGGTTGAGTTTTCTCATTTATAAAAAAGAGCTGTCAGGTGGCGCCTGTGGTTCAGAGGATGCTGGCCCCATATGCCAGAGGTGGCAGGTTCAAACCCAGCCCTGGCCAAAAACTGCAAAAAAAAAAGAGCTGTCTTTTACAGGCGGTGCCTGTGGCTCAAAGGAGTAGGGCACCGGCCCCATATGCCGGAAGTGGTGGGTTCAAACCCAGCCCAGCCAAAAACTGAAAAAAACAAACAAACAAACAAACCAAAACTGTCTTTTAATTGAAAAACTGTCTCTGTATAAAAATATAATTTTTTCTTTAGTCTTAGAAGTGCTACTGGTATAAAGGATATGAGGTTTAACAACTAAAGAGCCTCCATTTGGTTTCATATTCTATGTTCTCAGACAGTATTATGAGGTGTTATGCATCAATAAACCTACAAGTAAAAGAAAAAGTCACAGTTCAAAAATGCATTTAACACCCCATGAGTCCACTGTAAGGTCAAAGACTATTGAAGTAAGGGTGGCACCTGTGGCTCAAAGGAGTGGGGCACTGGCCCCATATGCCAGAGGTGGCGGGTTCAAACCCAGCTCCGGCCAAAAACTGCAAAAAAAAAAAAAAAGAAAAGAAAAGAACTATCATAAATTGGGGACCGTGTGTACTTGATATACTCAGAGAGAAAACTGAACAGATGTGAGGACCATAATCTTCACATAACCAAATCGAGAGACAAATGTATAAATATTTGTGCCAGCCAAGCCCTTCAGGAACCTAAAAGATCTTGCCAGCTGCACATCCCAAGGCCGAACCTTTCTGTTTATTTTTAAGGACTCCCATCTATCGACCTACTTTATTTCTTACTACTACTAACACAAATCTTCTACCCATTAAATTATTCCCTTCTCGTTTTTCTTTTCTGCCCCCTCCAACCTGCAATGCACTTCTCTTCCTCTGACGACCCAGATTCTCCCAAGACCCAGCTCAAGCTTGACCCCTTACAGAAAACCTTCCCTTGACACTGCAGCCCCCGTAGATGCTGCTGTTCTCCTAACACTCTGTATCATTTCATCCGTGTCACTCAAATTCACACCGAAGTAGATGTACTTAGTTCTCAAATACTTGTTGAAGTCAAGATTTTTTTGTTTGTTTGTTTTGAGGTAAAATATACAAAACACAAAATTTATCACCTTAACCACTTTTTTTTTTTTTTTTGAGACAAGAGTCTCAAGCTATTGCCCTGGGTAGAGTGCTGTGGCATCACAGCTCATAGCAACCTCCAACTCCTGGGCATAAGCGATTCTCTTGCCTCAGCCTCCTCAGTAGCTGGGACGACAGGCACCTGCCACAACGCCTGACTATTTTTTGGTTGTAGTTGTCATTGTTTGGCAGGCCCAGGCCGGATTCAAAACCCACCAACTCTGGTGTACGTGGCTGGCGCCTTAGCCACTTTAGCTACAGGTGCCACCCACCTTAACCACTTTTAAGTGTACAGTTCAGTATTAAATACATTCATATCAGTATGCAACCATCACCACTATCTATCTTCATAACTCTTTTTATCTTGTCAAACTGAAACTCTGTACCCATTAAACAGTAACTCCCCATTCCTTCCTACCCCTAGCCCTGGGTAACCACTGTTCTACTTTCTGTCTGTGTGATTTTGACCATGTTAACCACCTCACAAAAGTGAAATCATACAGTTTTTTGGGGACTAGCTTATTTCACTTAGCATAATGCTCTCAAGGTTCATTCATGTTATAACAAATGTCAGAATTTCCTTCCTTTTTAAGGCTGAATAATATTCCATTGCATGCATATACAAAATTTTGCTTATTCATTCATTCATCAGCCCATAGACATGTGGGTTGCTTCCATGTTTTAGCCACTGTGAATAATGTTACTAAAAACACAGATGTACAAATATCTCTTTGAGACTCTGGTTTCAATTCTTTGGGGCATATACCCAGAAGTAGAACTGCTGGATCATATGGTAATTCTGTTTAATTTTCTGAGGAACCAGCAAACTATTTTCTACAGCAGGTGTGCCCTTGTATGGTTCCACCAAAATGCACAACGGTTCCAATTTCTCCACGTCTTCAGCAACATTTACTTTGTTTCTTTTGAGTAGTCATCCTAATGAGTGAGGTGGATCTCATAATTTAATCTCATGATTAGTGATGTTGAGTGTATTCATGTACTTTCTATTCATTGGTATAAATGAATTTTTCTTTTCTTTTTCTTTTTTTTTTTTTTGAGACAGAGCCTCAAGCTGTCCCCCTGGGTAGAGTGCCATGGCATTACAGCTCACAGCAACCTCCAACTCCTGGGCTCAAGCGAGTCTCCTGCCTCCGCCTCCCAAGTAGCTGGGACCACAGGCGCCCGCCACAACGCCCGGCTATTTTTTGGTTGCAGCCGTCATTGTTGTTTGGCGGGTCCGGGCTGGGGATTCGAACCCGCCACCTTAGGTGTACGTGGCTGGCGCCTTAGCCGGTTGAGGTATAGGCGCCGAGCCATAAATGAATTTTTCTTTGGAAAAATGTCTATTCAAGTCCTTTGTGCATTTCTGAATCAGGCTTTTTTGAAATTGTTGAGCTTTAAGAGTTCTCAATACATTCTGAACATTAATCCCTTATACACAATTGCAAATGTTTCCTCCCCTTCAATGGTTGTTTTGTTGACAGTGTCCTCAATTTCTTCATCTTGTCTTTAGTTGTTCTTTCCATTTTTGAGAGTGGGTCCACTGTTACTGTACAACTGTCTATTTCTCCCTTTAATTTTGTTAGTTTTAGCTTTTCATGTTTTGACAGTTTGCCATTAGGAGCATAAATGTTTATAACTGTTATATTTTCTCACTGTATTAAACCTTTTATTAATATATAACATTCTTCTGTGTTTCTTATAACCTTCTTTTGATTTAAAGTCTATTTTGTTTTATATTAGTATAGATACCCCTGCTCTCAAGCTCTGTTTTGAATCTAAAGTGAATTGATTGAAGACAGAATATAATTGGACCATGTTTTTACTTATTCTGCCAATCTGTACCTTGATTGGAGTTTAACCTATTTAAAGTAATTTCCAATAATGAGGGACTTTGTCATTCTGCTACTTTTTACATACCCTATTGCTTTTTACCTCTTATTTCCTGCATAACTATCTTCTTTTGTGTTCAGCTAAATTTTTTTTGTAGTGAAATGTTTGAATTTCTTTCTCATTTTCTCTGTGTATATTTTATAGCTATTTTCTTTATGGTTACCGTGGGTATGATATTCAACGTCTTAAATTTTTAACACTCTAACTTTAATTTACACCAGCTTAACTTCAACAATGTCCCCAAACTCTGCTCCTTTACAGCTATACATATCCCTTTTAGTTGATGTCACAGAATCTCATCTTCATACACTGTATGCCCCCAAACATAATTAGATAAATCAGTCTCTTAAATTATGGAGGAAAAAACATGCTGAGCTACAAGTCAAAGTTATAACACTAGCTTTTAAACTAGTGTTATTTTTAAATGTATTATTCTCTTAAAGCATGTAGAAAACAAAAAGTGGGGTTATAAACTGTTGTTCCAATGATACCAATTTTTATAATTGCCCATGTATTTATCTCTATCAAGATTTTATTTCTTCATATGGTTTTGAGTTGCTGTCCATAGTGCCCTTTCACTCCACCTTTCAGGACTCCCTTAAGTATTTCCTGTAAGGTAAGTCTAGAGATGATTAACTTCTACAGCTTTTGATTAAATGGGAACATCTTAATTTCCCTTCAGTTTTTAAGGACAATTCTGTTGTATATAAGAGTTTTGGCTGATAGTTTGTTGTTGTTTTTTTAAAAGCACTTCAACTCACTGTCTTTCTGGTCTCAGAAATTTCCGATGAGAAATCTGTTGATCTTATTGAGAAACTGGTGTATGTAATGAGTCATTCCACTGTCTTTGGCTTTCAAAAGTTTGATTATGAGTCTTGGTGTGGTTATTTTTGAGCTCATTTGGACTTTGTTGATTTGTCCAATATTGACCATAAAGTGCTAAAGTCCCCAACTATTTTTTTTTAAATTTCAGATTAATATGAGGGCACATACAACCAGGTTACATTGTTTCTTTTGTAAGGTGAAGTCTGAGTTGTAGTTGTTTCTTTCACCCAAGAAGAATGCCATATACCGGTGCCTTGTTCCTTTGGGCGGGACCTTACCCAAACCTCTCTCCCTCTCCCCCTTCTTAAATGAGCACAGAGTTTCTAATCTGCTAGTTCAATTTAGTATTGACATATGTGATGCTTGTTTTTCCATTCCTGTGATACTTTACTTTGGAAGATGCTCTCCACATCTATCCAGGTTGTTACCAAGGATACAAAATCTCCCATCTTTTTATGGATAAATAGTATGCCATGGTATACATATGCCACTTTATTTAATTATTGTTTGTTAATCCACTCATGTGTTAAAGGGCATGTGAGTTGTTCCCATATCTTTGCAATTGTGGATTAGACTGCTATAAATAATTGAGTGCAAATG